GGGGCCCCCCCCCCCCCCCCCCCCCCGTGCACAAATTTTTGTGCACCGGGCCTCTAGTATATATATAAAAGCCTAAGTGACCGGCTGCACAGACCACCAGGGGGCAGACGCTCAACACAGGAGCTGCCGAGCTGCGGTCACTTGGCAGCGACGGTTCTTGGGTGATGCACCCGGAACCAGAGAGGAGAGAGCCCGATTCCAGGGTACATCACCCGAGAACCAGCCTCTCGCAATCCGGGACCAATCAGGGGATGTCAAAGAGCTGGTTTCAGCCTGATCCCCGCAGGCCAGGTAAGGGACCCCACTGGTGCACAAATCCATGCACCAGGCCTCTAGTTAACCTATAAATAGCTGACTGGCAGAAGTCTAAGATACATTTTGAGAGCACCACCTAGATTACACTCTGGTAAGTATTAACCTCTCAAAGTGTACCCTCATCTATATATAATGAGAATAGTAATAATTGCTCTGGACACCTCAAATAATAGCCTGATGCTCTCATGAGCTATAAAACTTACAAATAGCAGGTACCAATTAATTATGTATTATTGCATTATGTAGAAAGTAATTTGAAACAAAGCAATACAATAAAATGAAATTGTTTTTATTTGTTCAGAATGCTATCTTTAAATTTAACTGAAATTAAAAATGATTTGTTTGCCAAAAAAGTTAACATCCAAAACTGTTATATTCAATATTGAGTTTGTAAAAAATGGACATTTTACCTATTTGAATAGTAATATATAAACTATACAATGACATATATTTTTTATCAGCTCATGCTCTCCCAGACATAGAAATACAAGAGTAGCAGTGTTATTGCATTTTTCCTGTTCTAGTGTAAGATTTTAGTTTATAGAATTCATAAACTCAAAATTGTCTACAGTTTTTTCTTATTTGTCTGAAGAGCTTCTTTCTCTAAGAATTCTTACATTTTATCTTTCCTTTGAAGTATGAGTAAGATATGGAATCTCCTGAGTTATTTATAGCTTATACAGTCTTTAAAAGTTATTTTTAAAATATCACAAATTAGTCATATATATCCATAATACACATCTTTGCTATTCACATATTTCTTTTAGCAAGATTCAAGTTTATTTGTGCTTTGTATGTTAACATTACTTTAGAGCCTATTTTTAGTTTTCAGTAAAACTCGGTATCTATAAAGATCTGTCAAATATTTAATAAATGAAGCAGAACAGTCATTATGAAAATATAAACTGCTACTATAGCTTTTTATCTTTAATATTTTAATGCATTTCCTGTCAACCATGTAATTTCCTGTTCTTTAGGGAACTTGATAAATTTTTATCTTTGTCATCTCAATACGGCTGCTTTCTCAGCGTGGCATAATAGTATATTGCAGGTTTTCTGAACACACAGTCTTCACTGTCATATCAGTTGTAACAGTGGAATCTGATAATGCTGGCATTCATCATTTCCAGTTATTTGAACTGCAGGATGACCTTAAAACAAAGAGGAAAGGGGAGAATCAGTTTATACCAGAACGATGCCAACATCTGCTGTACAAGATGCTTTATAGTCTGTGAAGTGCCTCAAGAACTGAAAACAAATACACTGCTCAGTAACTGATGGCGCAGGCCTGCCAGATCCATGGTTCAGAATCATTTCATGTTTATACCAGGCTCTACCACACACCCCGTCAGACCTTTAGCCCCATTCAAAGGCAAGCCAGTACCAGTTTGGTGACTGGGCAGGTGGACCAGTCATCAAGGCACCAAAACGGCTGAATAACGAGTATGAAAGGAAGCTGAAGTATACCAGGGTTTAAAAAAAGGCACAAGAAGATTGGTTAGTGGCAAGAGATTGGTAAGAAAAACTGACTTTAATCACTGAGATTGATCACTAGAGAAAATGCTGAGCAATAATGAAGGGAACATACATAACAAAGATAATTATTTTTATTTCTTCCTCACAGCAGCAGTTTCTACAATTTAAATATTCTTTTTCTCATTAATTGAACACTGGGAATGGTTACTGTTATTTAGCCCTTCCTTTGTAAATGTAAAGCTGTTAGTCATTGTCATTCATTAGTTCTATCTTGTCTCAACTGGATTTTGTTATAACTATAAGGCATATTTTGTCTCCTATAGTTAAAGCAATTTTCTATTATTTGTCCAGTTAAATAAGACACTCTTTTCTTCAAGATCACGCTATTTTAAATCATAAAAGCTCTTCAGAATTAACTAATATCATATTCCCAAGGTAAAAAAATTAATTTTTATCATTAATGTGCACTGGAGCAAAACAAATCTAACTGTTAGAACAGCACTATTATTCTTTCGAAAATAACTACTTGATAAATTATGCTCCAAAGTAATTAAAATTACAAGTTATAATTAAGTTAATGTCTAAATCTAAAGATACCATGTACATAACATAAAGTATTTTCTGTGCTTGACATAAAATATCAGGAAGAAAAGAAATATTAACAGCAAACTATGAGTTTTTTCTTACATGACTCTATTGGTATCTATCAAAACTTAAACATTTTAAACCACAAAACAAAATTAAAGCAAACACCTTATTAGCTGCTTCCAAGGAATTTATTAGGTTCTGTAGCTCTTCTTTACTCATTTCGATAGAATATGGTTTGACTTCACCATTTTCTTTTACGTCTAGATGAAGGTTTAAAAGTGGCATTTGTAATGTTGCAATCTTGTCACTGGAAAGTGCAAGCTGGTTAAAATGAGGAAAACAGTAATTAATAGATATTAACAGGCCTATGTTAAATATGCATCAGAGCTTATGAACAACACATTCTTTAAAAAAAGTACTCCCATTTGCTGTCAAGTACAGGGAAAGGTGGAAGAAGTAGCATCCAATGGATCTAAGATATGAAAACTATTCTTTATGACTCTACTTGAAAAATGTTTTTAAATGCTGTTTTAACAACACATTACAGATTTTCCTTGGAGGTAGAAACACATTTACCAATACTGGGAAGACTATAAGGTCTAGAAAATTCCAGCCCGAAATATATGTTAAATATATATATATAGCTGCACTATTTGAAACAGGTAATGATTTACAGCCCCAGTTAATGAAATTTATCATTGTAAAGTTATTACACCTGGTTTGGATATTTATAATATACTGATGTCCAGTTAATACAAAAGATATAATTTTAATTATCTTTGATATCTTTATGGAACATTGCATTCTCAAAATGAAATTTTAGATGTGTACTATAAAAAAATAAACATTTCTTCCTATTCAAAAACTGAAATAAAACCATACTCCTAAATAAACAGATTCTCACCTTTAATTGCCAATCAAAATCCTGTAGCTGTGCAGAGGAAATATCAACTATTTCGTTTAACAGAGTCTGCTTAATTTCATCTTTTCTACTTTTCAAGCATTTCATGATAGCTTCCTGATGAGACGAATTCAACTGATTCAATTGCTGAGATATCTATGAACATAAAAAATAAATGGTTATAAAATAAGTGAAAGGACCTCTCCATCTAAAATGTAAACACATAGTTCCATTCTCCTTTCACATACACTTTAAGATGGTAGTAAATGAGGAAAAAAAAGATACTTCTCTCACTATGAAAAGAATAAGATAAGAATGCATAACCAGAAAACTAGGTTTTAACAAATTTTTGCAAAATAGAAAGTAAAGGAAAAGGGCTGACTGATGAAGAGCATGAAAGTGATTACATCTGGAGACTACCAAAAAAAGCTGGTATAGTTATATTAATATATTAAAATGTTAACAACTGTGTAACTGTGGTATGGGAATGTAGGTGTCAGCTACTTAACTTTCAGTTTTCTTCTATGACATTTAAATGTTTCACAACTTAAAAAATATAAACAAACAAAATAAAACTACAAAAACCCAGAACTTCCACAATCAGATTTTCTACTTACTCACAATAATGAGGTTTTTCTTGTTAGCTACTTATGATGGCCCTTGTATTATATAGTGTCCTAAAGACCAACTTAATAAAAAATCTGTACACTATTTATTTTTTATTATAACATATAGGAATTTAGACTACAGTTACCTCTTCATCAGATAATTTTTTGCCCACTACAGCTTTGAAAAATTTGGTAATATCTTCCAGAACATGCATCCATTCTGTGGAATCCCAAACATTTTGATAATCCTGGTAGAGAGGATAAGTTCGGCCACAAATGCCATCAATTATTTTGTGAAGAAGCTAGAGAGTAAAACGAAATAAATGTAATTATGAGTAAAATTATATAACAGATTCATCTCCCTTACAGCAAACATGAACTTCTCCTGTTGAAAGAAGTTCATATCATCTGCAAGAGCAGCTGAGGTTGAAAATGTAACTATTTATTTATTTACTTATTTACTTTTGTTAATCTTCACGGAAGATATCTTTTCCATTGATTTTTAGAGAGTGTGAAAGGGAGGGAGGAAGGGGCAGAGAGAGAGAGAGAAATATCTATGTGAGAGACACATTGATTAGTTGCTTCCCGCATGCACCCCAATGGTTTATGTGCCCTTGACAGGGAATCAAAACCGTGACCCTTTGGGTGTGAGGGCCAACACTCTAACCCCTGAGCCACACCAGCCAGGGTGAAGTGTACCTACTTTTAACATTATTTTATTAATTAAAAGTTAGAACTTCACACACACACACACACAAAGTATCATTTTGTCCATGTTCAGAAGCTAAAAAGTTATACAGATACACTGGTGTTTTTCCAATGTTACTGAAAGGAAGATGGTGGGTATAAAGGATTCATCTTGGGATTCCTTAGACATTGTATTTATACCAATTACAACAACAAAAAGTGTTTAACTCTTAGAGCAAAGTCTTTTACTGTAGATCTATAACTTCATTTTCCCTTGCCTCCATTTTTCACAACATTCATACTTACTTCTTTTGGTCCATCCAAGAAAGCCCTCAGTACCTATCTTTTCCTTTTTTGCACTCCTTTTTCTCTATCCTACCTTAATATCAACAATGGAAATCCTAACACATACATAACTGAACACAGTAATTAAGACTGTAAATTTTGGAATGAAACTGGCTAGTCTGAATATTAGTTGTACTACTTAACTAGTTTTGTCAAGTTATGGAAAAGTTCTGTGCTTCTGTTTTCTCATGTAAAAAAGAGGACAATATCCATATCCTCGTAATGTTGTAAGGATTAAATAAGAATACATGCAAATCACTTGCCACATTGCTGCCTTATACAAGACGCTTAAACATTGCTAGCCATTATCATCATCATTATTAGTATCACTACTGTTACTACTACTACTAATGTTCATGCCTTTAACATATTAACTGAGTACCTACTATGTCTGCACTATTCTAGGCAAATGATTAACATGGTATTCTTCCTCAGGGGCTATTTATGTCTTATACGAAGAGTATTTCAACCCAAACAACTTGGAAATGCATTTTAGCAGCAAGTCTTTCAACTCTTTCCCCCTGGATCATACTGACTCCATTTTAAGGAATTAATTTCTCTATGACACCACACTTATCAGAACAGAGATGAGCGACTGGTGACTCCACTTCCAAAAGCTGGCTAATGCGCCATATCAATTTCTTCATTTGTAAAATCAAAGGAAAGAGTTAAGAAGATTTTGTTGTTGTTGTTTATCCTGGCAGGAATTAAGTAATTTCATCCCTTCTATTCACTGCCCCCACACCCCCTCGACCATACTCTCCCCACTATAAAATGGAACAGAGATAAAAGGCAGGCCAAACTCTGGAATTTAATAAAAGGTACTTACCACACACCCCTCTATCACCGTACGTAGGCTAAGCACCCATGCCCACCCTTCACCCACAGTGAATGGAACAGAATAGGGACTTTTGCAAAGCTGCCCACCACTGGTATCCAGATGACTGTCCCAATGATAACACTGAGTTTAATGTGCATTCATTGATTACTGTCCTCAACAAACATCGATTTAAGAACCACCTTGAGCCAGACACAAGTCTCAAGAATTGAAGATATAAAACAAGTATCCACCCTGAAGGAGTTCAGAGTAGACCAGAGGCAAGAGGTCCAGCTAAGAAGTTGTGTTCAAGGAAGACTTCACAAGGCCTGAACTGTAGGGGAACGGAGATGGTGGGAGTAAACATATTAACATATTAATTACAGTACCAAGTGTCAGTCGTGGTCTGAGGTCAGTAGGCAAAGAGAACCACAGCTCCCAAAGCCAATGCTGAAGCTCCATATCGCATATATTGCTTTCTCTCCCGGTCAGCAAATTTCCTTCAGGCCTAATACTTGGGGCGCTAAGTTTTTTGCTTGAAAGTTCAAGGAGCTCCACTTCTCAGTCAGATTTTCCTGTTATAGCAACCATTGGGCTTTCTTCCTTTCACAGTTCCCAGTCAAAATACCGTTATATGTACTGTCTCCACATTTCTCTCATCTTTCAAACTCACTAAAGTTTTGCTGCTGCCCTAAGCAATACGTACCTCAAAATGCCAGTGCCTTGGGTAGTAAGGCTAAACACAGGAGCACGGCATAGACAGACTCCAGCCACTGACTCCTGCTCACCTGCCTTCGCTACCCTCCTCTGCTTCTCACTGCATTTCAGCCTCTAAGAATTACAGCAGGTCCTCAAAGGCCCCGTGGGCGGGGTGGGGGGGGGGGGGGGGGCTTCCTTCCTCCAGCCTCTGTAGCTGCTATTCCTCTGTCTGAAACATTCCCTCCCCTGTAGCCTGTCTGGTTCCTATTCATCCTTCAGGACTGAACCTAGAAATAAATCTAGACGCTCCTGCTTTGAAAACCTTCCCTTGCCCCTTCAAATCTGGGTTGCTACCCCTCCTGCAAACGCATGACTGGATAACTCCAGGTTTCCTTCCTAGACAGCAAGCTCCCCCGGGCACAGACTGAGTCTCAGTCACCATTTGGCCTTACCCCCGGGCACTCAGCGCGTGGCAGGCGTGGCAGGCACAGGCGCCAGGAAAAGCTGGGTGAACAAATGGATGAGGCTTTCTGCTTAGGCTGGAGGTGCCAGCCTGTCTGTCCTCTAGACTCCAGAGGGAAAGGCCGCCCTGGGACACACTACCTAGTCCAGTCGCCCAGTCATTGGCAGCACTTACCCATTTTTTTCCTGCTCCCTCAAGGGGCCCAGGTATGCTTCTCCCGGTCACCACGGTAACCCAGGCATTTAGCACTGTGCCTAGAGCCAGGCAGCGTTTGGGAGGTATATGTTGAATGAATGAATGAATGAATGAATGAAACAAACTTAGGTAAGAAGCTGCAAACCACCGGTCCACGAGGTAAGCTTTCACAGATTAGGTGGCATCTCCGCACCCCCCGGGGTCAATGGGTCCCGGGCCACCCCAGGGAGCAACGGGCCTCCACGGGGAGCAAAGGGCCACCCCAGGGAGCATCGGGCCACCCCAGGGAGCATCGGGCCTCCCCAGGGAGCAACGGGCCTCCCCAGGGAGCAACGGGCCTCCCCAGGGAACAACAGGCCCCCTCCCCTCCACCCCCGACCCCAGGGTGAGGGTGCGGCCG